GAGCTAAGCAATCTCAGTGATGGGGACAAGGCTATGAACAGCATCAAGGCACTGAGCAGCCTCTCCCCACTTACCAGGGAAACCAGACTTCCAAAGCCACATGGCAGAGCCAAGGACAGATCCAAAGACATTCACCAGCCAAGTCATTTGAACACTCGTGAGTAAATAGTGATGTGAGTTCCGGGGGTATATGAAGGAGTTTCTGGGGCTGCAGAAACCATTTCCTTTGCCCTGTTTAGCTCACAGGCCCCAAATGACAATGAATAAAGCCCACCCTGTCCTGAAGCATTTGCCCTTAGAGGCTTGCAAGGTACTGCTTAGAACCAATTACATTTTCTTTTTTTGGATTTCCAGCAACTATTCAGCCTTAGGTAGGATCAAAGAATGAGCCCTATCCATCTAGGGGGAAAAAAAAAATGCTTTTTAACCCACCCATAGCTTCTCCCAGAGAGGCAATCAAGCTGACAAGATTTGGCAAAATAAACTTGGTAATCAGCAGAGGAGGTGAGGCAGGAGCCAGTTGTCTTTACATGTCTTTAAGGGAAAGAGGGAAAGATGTCATATTCAAGTCAAACTAACTTCCAAAACCATTTATCCTCACTTCTTTCGCCATGCCACCTTAAAACAGAGCACGTAAGGGACTGTGTATAACTGTGTTTGGGGTTTTGGAATCTGATTATCTGGGTGGGACATGCTTTATGTTTCTTCTGAAAAGCTATCAGAAGAGAAAGAAAAGGCTATTCCTGGGAATCGTGCTGTCATTCCACCTATCCATCTGGTTGGCGCTAATTTTAAGCCTCATTATAATAAAAGACTTTGAATAGCTCTGCTTTTATGATTTAAATGGACTTTCAAATTGGGGTTTAACCATCTGATATAAAAAAGTGGGTGGACTTCAAGCTTCAGAGGGAAACGAATAAACATAATGAAAGCTGTAATTAAAATTTTCCCGGTTTCCTCCAACCCTCTTAGCACAATTATTGTCAAGCTTGAAATAAACATTGCCTAAATTCAAACCTCAAGTTTGGGAAAAAGCCCACAATACAAGGGTGTGGTGAGGCAATTGAAATCATTTAAATATAAATCCAATTCCATGGATGAGCATTAACACCCAGATGTGTATTAAATTTAAAATTTGCCAGTGGTTAGAGAGTATCCATCACCCAATTTCTTTGAACACAGATGACAGCAGAAACTTTGGGAAACCCCTATTCAATAATGTAAAATGCCACAGCTCCTAATGGCCATGTGGAGCAGTTGCCAAGGAAGGTGTGAAGTGAACCCTACAGACATAGGAAGGAGAAATTCAATAAAGAACAACTTGGTGAAGAGTTGACAGAGATGTCATTACAGATGACAGAGAAAGTGGCAACTCTTCAACAGTTGCTCAAGCTCCAAATCTTATAATCATCGTTGGTTCATCTTGTGTCTCATAATCTGAGGGCAAGGTACAAGATTTCTGAGATAATGAGGTAGTTTTGGTGGGGAGCAAACTTTTTAAAAGCATATGCTTATGAAAATGTGCACTATGGGGCCCAGTAACTTCAGAACACCCCCCACCAACACACACACACACACACACACACACACACACACACACACACACATTGCCCTCCTGCTGGTTCTCCCTTCAGTATATTCTGGAATCCAACCTCTTTCTACCTCTGTCCCCAGCATCTGGATCAAACTACCTTATTTTTGCCTTAATCACTGAAGTAGCTTCCCATCTCTTTCACGCTCCTACATCTCCCTTGTTCCTTCACAGTCCAGTCATACCACAGGAGGCAAATTATATCATGTTGTTGGTTGGCTCAGAGCCATCCAAACTTCTCTACTAATAATAGAGAAAATCCTTGCTATGTCTGTCATGGTCCTGTAACAGGGTGGTCCCCAGGAAAGGGGGAGGTTCCAGGTTTCCTATCACACCCAAGGGAGGGTGGAGCTGAGCAGGGAGCGGAAGAAGCTGCAGAGGAGACTGAGGAAGGAAGGAAGCAGGATGGGGAGCCAGAAGGAGACCTGGAGGAGGCACATGGAGCCGAGAGACACAGGAAGAAACTACACTTGCCTTTTGGTCGTGGACGGGGTGACACAGATGTGGGTGAGAGACCTGTGGGGAGGTGACAGTGGCGGTTTTTGTCTTGATTTTGATTTTGCTCTTTTTCTTCCAGACTTTTGTGGTTGTTTCTGATCCTTTCCTGTGGGTCCCCACTGGAAGATGCTTTAGACTTGTGACAGGCTTTGGGGCCTTGTTCTGGGCCAATCCTGCTTGGGTGGACTTTTACCCACGAGGGGACCGGTGACTTTGGGTGCTTGACTTAGAAACTATATTCTTTGCCTTTTCTGTATTGTTTCCTAATTGTGTTAAAGTTCCTTCCCATTAAAGTCTCATATGTTTTGTGTTGATGCAGCAGATGGCAGAACCTATTTAGAGCAGGCAGATTTGCGGGGTCTGGAGTGCCCCTCTCCCCTCCCTGTAACAGTCCCATGAGTTACCTCTTGGACCAAGTTTCCTCCCACGCTCTGCCCCTTACTCAGCTTTCATCACCCAGGATTTCTTGGGGTTTAGGGGTACCTGCCAAACATGCCTGCAGGCCATTGCATTTGCTGTTCCTAGAATCCTCACTTCCTTCAGGTTTGCGCTTCAACTCACCTTTAGAGATGCCCCCGCCCAGCCTATTCAATACAAAACAGCCCCTCATGCGCCCTGTCCATTTTGCTTCGGGTTTTTCTCTGTAGGCTGAAAGTGACTTGGTAGAGGCTTGTCTACTGTCTTACTCCACTGGACTGTAAGCGCTATGAGGTAGGGGCTGGACTCTGCTCACTGTTGGGCCCTATTCTTAGAACAATTGTCTGGATGAGCATTTAACACTTGGATATGTATTAAATTTAAATAATAGGTACATACGTGTGGAAAGAAGACAGAATTATGTAACCTGGGAAATAAGGTTAATCATAACGTCACTGGCAGAGAATGAGAAATTATTTGGGGGGAAATAGTGGAATTCCTTCTGGATGTTAAGTCTAAAATGAGAGATGTCTTAAATTAATTATCATTATACTTTGTGAATAAATGTCTATTTGCTGGCAGCAAATAATTTTAGTCCTGGGTGTTACCCACTACTAAGGGGACTTTATTTTTCAGTTTCAGGCCTACCTTTGCAAAATGTTACCAAAATTCAAATACACTGATTCTTCAACCAAGTTTCACTATTTTATTATATGTTCATTTGATCTTCCTTCTTTCATGTAGAACATGAATAGGCAAGAAACCTTCGCAGACTCCAAGGACAATACCTTTCTTTCAAGCTACATTTTCTCAATGAACAAAAATAAACTGTTCATTGACTCTGACATTTTACTTCTGTTAAAAAAAATTTACAGAGTTAGAGATCTAATTGGCTTTATTGAAGGATTCATGAAACAGATAGCATCCCATCTAGATCTTGCAAGGACTTAGACAAAATGGGAAAGGTGGGGGGGGGGTAAGAAGTTATTTAGCAAAAGATTATTTCATGTAGTCTCCTTACCTAGTGGGCAGTCAGGGAGGTCTTATCATGCACCCTGGTGCTGGCTAGCAAACTCCAGATTGATTTAAGAATATACTTAGGGAGGGCCTCCCTGGTGGCACAAGGGGTTAAGTGCAACACTGTGAAGCTATCCACAGCCTCTGCAGCACAAGTTTGATCCCTGGCCAGCCAGGGAGCTACCCACACTGCGTAGCAGACCTCTCCTGTCTCGCCTGCTGCTCCCCTCAGCAGTGTATTTCAGTCGATCTGCCTGTTCTGCTCCCCACTCTCTCTGGTGAATCCTCTCACCCCCTGCACCTCTGGCCTGTACCCAGCTCTTGTGTGCATAAATAAGTAAATCTTTAAGAAAAAAAAAAAGAATATACTTTGGGGGGGGGTTTGAATCTAAGACTCCACCTTGGGTGTGTTTTTTCTATTTTAACACTTCATGTATGGGGCAAGGGAGGTCTTGTACCTCAGATCCAAGTTTCCTTTTTGAGGAGGAAGTGAGTTCCAGGAGGGGAGATTGACACAGGACAGGGGCTGCCTCCTCCTTTTCATCTTTGTCAACACAATATTCAGTGAAGGAGAAAAGACTGGAACATGCCAGGTCCCTGTCGTGCAGGGCTGCTTTTTGGATTGCTGCTCTGCTGGGAAGCAGAGGTCAAGGGGTGTATTCTACTCCCCCCCAGCAAGAGGATTTGAATTTCTTCAGTTGGGGAGGAGGCCTGAGGTTTTGGGGGTGCAAGATTTCCAAGTTAGGGTTCTCTAGTGATTTGCCCAAGGAGGATATACACTCAGAAACTCTCCGGCGCTTCCGAGGAGACCGGGTCCCTCGTGCCAGTTGTCCACTCCCAGGAAGACACTCGCTCCTGCTTGAAGGCCGCCAGCAGTGGCCCCGGGGGCGCGGTCCGCCCCGGAGTCCACCAGCTTCCGGCTCTCCCGGAGCCAGTTAAAGCTCTAGGGGGTGAGCGCAGCGGGCAACTGCTCCTTCATTCAACAAATATTTACTAAGCGCCCGCTGAGTGCCAGGCACCGGGGTGCCCCGGGGCAAGCAGCCACTCTTACTAATTCATTCCACTTCTTCAGCCCAGGGGCTCCGGCGCGCCCCGTGGGAGCGGACCCCGTACTCCTCGCCCACCCGCTGCCCGCCGCCCGGGGGTGCCTGGAGCCCGCAGCGCAGCCCTCCCGGCGCGCGCGGGGGGGACGGGGCGGGGGAAACGCGCCCGGCGGGATCCAGCCTCCAGGGTCTAATCCGGGTGGAAAAGGAGGGGTGGAGGGGGTGGCGGGGGACAAAGCACAAAAGGGAAGAAGCTGCGCCCCAGTGCGCCCTGGACGCGGCTCCCGAGCCCGGGGGAGCGCGCAGGCGGCCTCGGCGGGCGGAGGGCGCGGCGCCGGGAGGGGCCGGGGCGGCGCCGGGAGGGGCGCGCGGGGCGCGGCCGCGGGGCCCAGCAGGTGATCGCGGCCGGGACCCGAGCCGGAGCGAATCCCGTGCGGGCGCTGGCGGCGCCGCGGGGCGACGGCTCGCGGGGTCCGGAGAAGTTCTCGGAACATGGCGGCGCAGTCCGGGGCGCGCAGGAGCGCGGCGCGGCGGCCGCGGGCGCCCCAGGAGCTGTAGCCGCTGCAGCCGCCGCCGCGGGGCGAGGCCGCCGCCATGGCCCGCTGGATCCCGACGAAGAGGCAGAAGTACGGGGTCGGTGAGTGCGCGCCCTCCGCGCCCCGGGGCGGCCGCCGCGAACTTCGCGGGCGCGGCTCCTGCGGGCACAGGCGGGCGGCGGGCGGCGGGCGCGGGGCCGCGGGGGGCGCGCGCGGGCGCTCCGGCTCCCACCGCCTGCTGCTGCCCGGGGGGCGCAGTCGAGGCGCAGTCGAGGGGTCCGAGCGCTGCCCAGAGCCCTGTTAGGAAGGTCACCCCAGGATTTGGGGAGTGAGGGTGCCTAAGAGCGAGGTGGGGCTCCGGGACGGGTGATCCTGCAGCGGAACCCCGGAACGTCAAAAGCTGGGCGCTCGCCTGCTCCTGATCTGGGCGCCCAGCTCTGGCGCGCGCCTCCCCGCGCGCCCGCGTGGGTTGCTCCGCAGCCTGAAACCGCCGCAGAAGGCGGGATGCGAGTGTGGCTCGCTGGCCCCTGCTTTCGGGTTTTCCTCCCTAAAGCCCCTAAGTGAGGAGTTGAGGAGACAGGGCCCCCCCCCCTGTTTCCTGCCAGGGACTGGGGTCCTGATAACAGTTGGGGGCCGAGTGGGAAGCTGAGTTGCGGTGTGGGGTTGATGGAGAGGCAGGAAGTGTGTGGCGGGGCGCGGGGTGGCCACCCCGGCGCTGACGGTGCGGACGCTCATCCCCCTGAAGGCGCCTGTATGGAGAGGTTTGAAGATCTTCTGAGTCTAGGTTTTGCCCTGGGATGAGAGGAGGACATTGTTTTCCGAAAACTCTGGGGCAGCTCCGGTGCTGGACACTTGGCATTCGTGCCAGGGCTAAGGGGTAGCTGTGGGCTTGGTTTGATGGCGACTCGCTGCAGGATTTTGACTCAGGTGATAGGCTTGGTCCTTCCCTTTTTATCCTGGAGGAAGGCGCCTGGAGTTTCCTTCTGGTTAGACTTTGCCTTCTAGCGGGGCGTCTGCTGTGACGGTGCAACTGCAAGCACTTCCCTAATGTCAACACAGTTGAACACACTTTCCCACTTCCTCTCAGGTTCATTCATTTGGCCTATTTGTAATTTAATCTACTTCAATCCCTTCCCTGCCCCCAGTTTTCTTCATCTCACCGGTGAGTAGGAAACTGTCCCTGAACTTGCTTTCTGCTTTCTGAGAGCAAAGTTTCAGAGATACTTTTGACATCTCTAGGTGCTCTTCAGCTGTAACTATGAGTGGGTTATGTGTGTGTGTGTGTGTGTGTGTGTATATATAAAACCACAACAAAAAACGCTTGTATTAAAGAATTCTTGCACTGTGATCCTTTATGTGTGTATGTTGAAATTTCTCCGAATGGAGGGAAAACTAGAATGTAGGTGAATTAAAGTTCTTTGTTTTATATGTGTATGTATATGTAGATATAAGATTTTTGGAATAAATGGAAATTTTTCAGGAATGCGTGCACTTTGCTGTGGCCACACTCAGAACCTGGTAGGTGCTGTTTCTCCTGCCCCTGGCAACCACTTTATATGATTTGGTCACAGGACGACACACGCGCACTCACACACACATGGTTGCCTAATCAGGTGCAGGTTAGTAAGCAGCCAGCAGTTATGGCAGTGAACACACACACACACACACACACACACGGTTGCCTAATCAGGTGCAGGTTAGTAAGCAGCCAGCAGTTATGGCAGTGAAGTGCTCTGAAATGGAATCCATGTCTTCGCTTTTTCGTATTATTGAGTACTAACTACCAAATGAAAGCATATTTAGCAGCGCCTCATCGTTAGGTTACTTACCGAAAGAGTTATCAGTTCTAATTCTTGTTTGACAAGATAAAAACCTGTTTGCAAAACTTTCATGACTTTGGCCTAATTTAGTGCAAAGCGTGTTTTTTAGTGCCATAGCCATAGGAGCAAGTTCAGTTTATTTTCTCTTAAATTTTCATTTCCTGTTCTGGAGTCAGGTTATGGAATTACTTACCATCAGTCAAGAAAAATATTTGAGCTGCATTTCTAGGGTATGGGTGGTAGCAAGATTGCCCCAGTACATAGTTGGGGCACTTATGTCACTAGACATAATTAGATAATTCATCTGGATTTGACAAAGGACCCATTGGGAGGGTGGATTAGCTGATGAGCTAAATCTCCATTGTTTACTCCTAAAACACCTTGATTTTTTTCCCCCTCCCTGCATGGAGTCCTTGCTGGGCCTTCTTGGGTAAAGTCTAAACTGAGCTCAACTTTCAAGGTTCCTCTAATCTGGCGGAACATATCTTTATCAGCCTTATCGCTCAGGTTTCTTTCTTTAACCCTCCAGTGCAGACACTGCCCTGTTGCTCTTGTGTAATATTACCCTGGGGAGATTCCCTTCTTTGGAACTTTGCTCCTTTGTCCTCCTTCCTTGTCCAGAGTGCCCTCCACCGCTGCATCCCACAATCCATTTCTCCCCCCAGGCTTAAATCCCTTCCCAGTGACTCCAGAGTTGCTGCTCACCTCAACCTCACAGACTTGCTCACAATTCCTGCATTGTCCATACCTTATTTTGTCACCTGTCCTCTTACCCTTGGGTTCAATGAATCAGAAGGTTATGGTTTTGTATTCCTGTCACGGAAGAGGTCTATGGCACACCTCGGAGATCTGTCACGTGGTTTCCAAGTCACTGCAATGAAGCAACTGTTGTAGTAAAGCAAGTCACACAAATTTCTTGGTTTCCCAGTGCCTATAAAAGTTATGTTTACACTATACTGTAGTCTGTTGAGTGTGCAATAGCATTGTGTCTTAAAAAACAATGTCTATACTTTAATTTAAAAATACTCTATTGCGAGGGCCTCCCTGGTGGCGCAAGGGGTTAAGCACAGCACTTTGAAGCTATCCGCAGCCAGTGCAGCACGAGTTGGATCCATACAGGGAGCTAACCCACATGGCGCAGCAGACCTTTCCTGTCTTGCCGACTGCTCCCCTCAGCAGTGTATTTTCGTCAGTCTGCCTGTTCTATTCCCCACTCTGGTGAATCCTCTTACCACCACCCCCACCTCTGGCCTGTACCCCAGATCTTGTATGCATAAATAAAACTTTAAAAAATAAAAATACTCTATTGCTAAAAAATGCTAGCCATCATCTGAACCTAATTTTTTTTTGCTGATGGGGAGGATCTTATTTAAAAAAAAAAGCAGTTATCTTTGAAGTGCAATAAAACAAAATGCAATAAAACGAGATACCAGGAATACAGTGTTACTGCTTGTCCTTTGCATGGGGTGATGTTCTAAAGCTGATAAATTCTACTATCCTTTAATGCAGTGGGTATTTTTTGGTTTTTTGTTTTGCTTTTTTTTTTAAGCTATTTAGGCTTTAGCATCTCACTTGCAGCAATAAGAGTTTTATTCAGTTAGGTGGATGAAGTGAGAGCCTTCAGACTTTTTATTTTTGTAAATTAAAAAAAATAGGTATGCCGCTGAGAAAACAAGGAAGCATGGAATAGATGCTTTTACAACTGGGAAGATTGACTTCTTGGACCTTCTGGGGGGGCAGCTGCCACATCTTAGAATCTGTCAATCTGATTTTGTTTCTGGATGAAGGAAACCTATGATAGCCATTTTGAATCATTTTAATGGTTCAACATGTGAGGGCAGTGCTCTGGTCTCAATTTGACTTGTGCCCAGCAGTTAACTGTCTCTACTGTCTTATTTTATTTTGGTGCCGTTATTGGTTCTTCCTGCCATAGCCTCGATTTTCTCCAGGGGCTGAAATGCAATCTGTCTGGGCTTCCTTAGTACTTAAACAGCACTGTTGGCTCAATCTCTAACATTAAGTGGGTCTAAATGACCAGTGTGTGTTGTCAACATCAGGCAGTGAAAGGACCAATGGTCTTGCTTCTTTAAAATCTGGCCCATTAGCAGCCAGTGTGAAGAGCTTAGAGCTGAGTGCTTAAGAACAGGTGCTCTTCCCTGGAGTATGGGCAACTTGTTTCTTACTTTTTCTTTCTTCTCTTTATTTTCTTTTCCTTTATTCTTTCCCTTTCTGTCTCTCAGTTTTTGTTTGTTTGGTGGTGTTTGAAGATGCAGAGATATAAAATACCTGTTTAGATTGTGTGTAAATATTAATGATAAGTATGAAGATTATGCTTCTGATTCTTGAAATATTTACTTTTAATCTCCCAAACAAGCTACTAACTATATCAAGAACTGGTCCAGATTATATTGATGACGGCTTCTTTGCAAAACAATTTATCATTTATTGGAATTTGGGATAGATATTTTTATAATGTGATAAAAAGTAGTTGGGTTTCTTTTACCATAACTCATCATCTGCGTATGCCCACTCAGTCTAAAAGCATTTAACTCTGTAGCTCCTGAAATGCTGGTGTAAAAATTGAAACCAGTTCTTGTAGCTCTTTATTGATGCATTCAGATAAATCTTTTAGTTCCTTGCTGTTCTTCCTCTCCTTAAGCACCGTAGTCAAGTACTACAGGTGCAGTGCTGGTGGTGAGATGGGTCTCAGATGTACTTCTGTTTCCTTTGCAAGATAAGAGTTTGGTACCTCAAGAGTAAAGTGAATTGCTTAACACAGTTCTACCAGTTTGGTTGCATGGATCCCTTTTACCATCTGGTTGAGCCATTGGATCCATTTCTCAGAATAATATTTTCAAGTTCATAAAGTCAGCTACAAAGCACTGAAAATTAAACTAGTTGTATTGAAATGCAGTTACCAAGATATTTTTTAAAATCTGTGATACTGTAATATATGTGCTTCTTTATTATTGCACTACATAGCAAGATCTGGTGACAGGTCCATGAACTGTAATACTCTTGGATTAGTAGTATAAGCATGTATAGTTTTCCAGGATAACCTAAGTATGTGTGGTTTCCCTTGGTGACACTATCACAAGTATTGCTCGTACAGCTATGATTTATGGTGTATAGTCATAATTGAAGTAAACACTAAGTGTCAGTTAGGAAATAGGCTCTTTTCGTCTATGGATCCTCTGAATTTGACACAGACTGAAGAGTCCTTGGCTGAAGATCACACAGATGATTATAGAATCAGAAGAAGCAACAGCAGTTACAGTTAC